ACATATAAGTACATGTATCTTTGGCCTATTTGTGGCTAAAGAGGGGGAGATATTTTGTGTTAATTACTTGGTAGACATTATATTTTTCTGCAGACATATTCATTCTGCTGCTCTCTATTCTCTGATTGCTTAGGGGTTTTAGCCAAAAATCTGCCAAAGGGGGAGTTTGTAAGTGTTTAGTTATTGGCATGTATTTTTGGTAAAACCAGGTGTGTGAATGTCATGACTGATGTCATAACATTCTGGATTATTAGGTACTTTATGCAGAAAAAGTATGGCATACAGTAGCTGCTATTTATGAGTGTGTATCTGAGCATTTTGCAATGATCACATTTATTACTTTCTACCAAAATCAGTAAACAGGAATTCTGATGTCATAACAAATGTTAAGATATCCTGTACTGATCTAACAGTTATGCAGTTTGGTTAATTCTGAGATTTTTCAGGAAGTTGGTTCATTCCTTCCAGAACAGAATCTCACGTGGACTTTAGGTTAACCTAGCTCAACCCGAATCTGGTTGATAAAGTCTTGTGACCAAGTCTTGAGGTTAACCGTAATTAACCCTAGCTTTTCGTGGAAGCCCTAACTGAAGAAACAGCTGCATATATATTCAACAGGAAACTGATTGGAAATTAACTCTTTGACAGAAGATCAATTAGGAGCTGTATAGTTTTAACTGGTGTAATCCAAGCAAGTATCATTGTGATAAGTGACTTGGAATAGGTTTTGATTGTAAGGGTTTTTGTATCACTCAAAGCTTTGAAGCAAGAGTGTTTGTGTCTCTTGACTAAAGCTTTGAAGCAAAGTCAAGTTAGGTTTATGTATCACTCAAAGCTGTGAAGCACGAGTGTTTGTGTTACTTGATTAAAAAGCTGTGAAGCATAATCAAGTGTATGTTCTGAAGAGTGTCTTCATTATTTCATTAGTCAATTGTTTAAGTATCACTGTTGTGATTGAGGGGGAGTGAGTAGGAACTCAGGTTTAAGTTGAACTTAGATTGTAGTTACATTGGGTAGGTCTTAAGTGAAGGACATAAACTGGTTGGTTTATTCCTGAATTAATATCTCTTATAGTGGATTTCCTCCCTGGCTTGGTAGCCCCCAGAGTAGGTGTTGTTTCACACTGAACTGGGTAAACAATTGACTGTGTTCTTTACTGTTTTTATTTACTGTCTTATAGAAAGTCAGATACGGTGTCATAACATTCACTGTGACATTGAGTATCTGCTGCCAGAATTTCATCAACATAAGCCTCTATCTCGTGATGGATCATATCATGGAACAAAGCTACCATAGCATGCTAATACGTTGCACCAGCGTTCTTCAAACCAAAAGGCATAACTTTGTAACAGAAAGTGCCCCACTATGTGATAAAAGTAGTCTTCTCCATGTCCTCAGGTGCCATCTTGATTTGATTATAACCAGAGAAACCATCTATGAAGGAAAATATCTTATGTTGAGTAGTGTTGTCAACCACAACGTCAATATGTGGAAGCGGAAAGTCATCTTTGGGACTTGCCCTATGCAGATCCATGTAGTCTATACATATATGCACCTTACCCTCTTTCTTAGTTACGGGGACCACATTTGCGACCCACTGAGGATAGAATGTAACAGTTAAGAAACCAACATTTAATTGCTTTATAACCTCGGCTTTGATCTTTTCAGACAACTCAGGACGCATACGATGAACCTTCTGCTTTATAGGAGGATAACCTTCCTTCATCGGTAGATGGTGAACCACAATATCAATATCAAGCCATGTCATGTCTTCGTACGACCAAGAAAAGATCTCAACATAGTCACGCAACATCTGGATTAATCTCTTTTTGACACGGTCCTTTAGGTTGGCACCTATCTTAATTTCTTTCTTGTTCTCTTCAGTACCCAAATTCACAACCTCGACTAGTTCTTCATGTGGTCGTATGGCTCTTTCTTCTTGCATTAATAGCCTAGCAAGCTCTCCAGGTATTTCACAATCTTCCTCACCTTCATCCTTGGCTTGGTAGATCGGATTTTTGAAGTCATAATTGGCAATAGAAAAATTGTTATCAATGGGATCCAGGGTGGAAGTGGATCTGCAATTTGTTGCATGGGTGTGTGTAAGAATACATAGCTATTTTGAAAACAATATAGTAAAAGAAAGACAAAAAGCGCAAAATTTTATGTGAATGTCCAGTGATTTATTAAATGAAAATATGCTGATAAATAGTGGCAACCCTAACAAATGGACCATTATGCCCTGGGTAAGGCATAAGGCTTAAAGTTTTAAATTACATAACCAAAAAAACATAAAAGTAAGAAACCAGGAAATAGCATTTACTCCTGACTAAAGGAGATTTGGATAAAGTCTTCAGTCTTCCAATTATTGAGCCCACTGTCGATAGTATGGAAGATCCAACTGTCTATGTCATAGTCACTATCAGCGTCTTCCACAGTGTTGACATGATTGTTGTGAACTCCATTGTTGTTGATGCAGAATGGCAGTCTCCCAGAATTAGCAAGATCACGACGGGCAGCCCTCTGAGCCTGAGAAGTGAAACCCATACCAAATTTCTCGGACTTATAAGGAATATTAGGAAGCTGACTCCAAATAGTGCAACCACCTTTTTCGACCACAACCTAAGCGTCTTTCAGAGAATCCATTTTAGGAACAACAGGAGTAGCCTTATCAATCGGGGTTTCTCGGAAACAACTTTAAAGGTCTATCAAGGATTCTCGACGAATTCACCATCCATTTCGACATACTTGAAAGAGTTCAAATAGCTCATCATATATTCCTCTTCACCGCAAACTGTAACAAGCTTTCCTTTCACGGGATACTTTAACTTTTGGTGTAAAGTAGAAGTAACAGCGCTTGCCCCATAAATCCAAAGGCGTCCAAGAAAACAGGAATAGGGTGGACGAATGTTCATCAGATAGAAAGTAGAGTTGAAGACCTAAGAACCTACTTTGACTGGTAGATCAACCTCCTCATGCACCTTTCTCTTCAAACCATCAAAAGCTCTTACCACAATGTTATTGGGTTTTAGCACGATCCCCCCGCAGTCAAGTTTATCTAAAGTGGCTTTTGGCAATACGTTCAATGAGGAACCTATGTCCACCAACACATGAGATAATGTAGTGCCCCTACACTCAATAAAAACATGAAGGGCCTTATTATGATTCCTTCCCGTGGGAGTTAAGTTTGCGTCAGAAAAGCCTAGCCCATTATCAGTTGTTAGATTAGCAACATAATTTTTAAACTGATCAACAAAGATTTCCTGCGGTACATGAGCACTTTTTAGAAACTTCACCGAAGCCTAAGCATAGGCTTTAGAGCACAACAACAATGATAACATATATATTTTGGAGGGTGTCTGCCACAACTGGTCAACAATCTTGTAGTCACTCTTTCAGATAATCTTTAATATTTCCTCCATCTCTTGCTTGGAGGTGTCTTCAACATTGACCTTCTTCGGTTCCTCATTCTAGGCATGCTCAGTCATATGTTCTTCCTCTCAAGTCTCAATAGTAGTAGTGATATGAACTGGTGTAGTAGCAGCCTTATGGGAAATCTATGGAGATAAAAACCTTCCACTTCTAGTAACCTTACTAGTCCTAGCAATATTTCTAACATCAGGATTAGTAACTTCAGCACTTTCATCTTCGTCGGTCAATGGTTCTTGCTTTACGCCAGGGTAGTAGACATCAGCTCCATAATTCTAAGGGATAGCCTTATCAGAAGAATATGGAATTGGACCAGGTGCAGTAATGATCAGAGGAGCAACCTTTCGTACCCCAAATTTTCCCTACCTCAATGATTTTATTTTTCAAGATTTAAATAAAAGAAATATTTATTATAAGATGGTATAGTAGTATCTAATGGCCCATCTTTATCCAAGACGATCAGGGGGTGTACTTTAAATTCAGAAGAAAGGGGCTTTCTAAATTAGAAAGACTCGGGTATCTGTGAACCCATTCGCGAAACATGTTGGCCTATAGCCCATGAGATTCGAAAATGGAAAATTGTTTCAATGATAATTAATAAGTTATTAAATTAATTAAGCCCATTTAATTTGTTGTTGTTAATAAAATAAGAGGTGAGGATGCAATTATATTAAAATTCAATTTGGCCCATTTCTTTTTAAAAAGCAAACAGCGAAAAGGGGTGTGCAATTTACAAGCCCATTAAGTTCTTTATGGCCCATTTGTTGTTTTTGGAAGGAAAAAAAAAAAGAAGTCTTATTATTAAAGAAAAAAAATTGTTATTGTTATTATTTTAAATAAGAAAAATAAATAATATATTTTTATGAAAAAACCGTAACATGTTTTTATACTACTGATAAACTTGTTTTTAATTTTCTTTCTTGTTATTAAAGATTATTGTTTTTATTTTTATAAAGAAATATATATAAAGAGGATAGTGTCGTTGCTGTTATTTGTTTATTTCACTTTTATTAGTAAATAACATGTTGCTAATTATAATTATCAAAAGTTTGGCTAAGGCGGTTTTGGGCTACGGAAAAGGCACTTGGCCCAGTTGTACAAAAGAAATGCTTTTTGCTGTAACAAAATAATATTGCTGGGCTAAATTAAAGTAACAGCGCAGGGCCCAAATTGCTAATAAACTACAATTCAGCCAATTACGACTAAATCAACGCATCGTTTTGCTTTATTACGCTCATTGTAGAAATCAAACAAAATTGTATCTAATCTTTAAACTAAATCCAGGATATCAGTAAACCAAATCAGAATAAATAATCTAATTTCACAACAACAAATCCAAATCGAATCCAGAAAATTAAAGTTATTACAATTGAATCCGGAACTTACAGTGCAAACAAAATCCGTAATTTTCAAAATCAATCAACAACAATTTCAATCCCTAATTCTTGCAATTCTCCTAAATCAAAGCTAAAAAAATGTAATCTCTAACAAAACCCTAAAATCTAAAGCCTATAAATAGCTAACTAAAATCAACGCCAGGTAGGAGGATTCGGACTGGGGAGTACAGAAGGATGAAGGCAGAAAAGAAAGGAGGAAATATAGAGGGGGCTCGAAGACTGCACCGTGAATTTATAGAGAAAGAACTCGAAGAACGGCAAGAGACGGTTAGGGTTTCAATATCTGAAACCCTAACAGCCGCTGACCACCTCGCCGTCCACCACGCCTTCAACCGCTCATCACCATCACCTTCAAAGCTTTATTGTAACTTGCAAAAATGACGAGGAATGAGGAGATTAGAATCCGAAAGCTCGAGATCAGAATACGGCATCGCGAAAGGGTAACTTAGCATTTTGTTCTTTTTTATTGTTGGTTGGGGGATGTGGTTTGGGTTGGTTACGGCGCCTCGGGGGTATTAGGGTTACCGGGTTAGCAAGAAAGAAGAAAGGGAAGAGAGTTTGTGTATTGCGAGAGAGAGGAAGATGTGTCACTGTAAGTAAAAAAAGTGTAAAATGAATAAAAACAATATATGTACCGTACTATTCCAATACCTGTGCACCTAGCATAATTAACATAGTCCCTCAGTTTTATCTACACGATCTCCATCAGACGACCATAGGCCAAGTATCTACGATAAGGTTCGTACACCCTCGCTTACACGATCACCCTGGACCCCCTCCAATTCACGTTTGGGCCTAAGCCCACACTATTATTAGCGCCCCCTATTTTTACTCTATAACTTAAGACTGCACCCCCATGAATTTAACTATATATTTTCTATATTTTTATATAATTCTTATGATTTCTATTTTTTGGTTATAATTATTATATTTTTTCTTATTATTTTATTTGTTTTCTTTATTTTATATGATTATTATTATTTTTATTTTATTATTAATTTTTATATTATTATTATTATTATTATTTATTTATCATATATAATAAATTATTTTTATTTAAAACTCATAAACATATTTTATACATATTTGCATTAAATATTTTTATATAATGCATTAATTAGAAATTTCACGATTAATACAATTAAAAGATATTAACGAATCTCAAACTATTTTTCACAACAAACTAATCTAAACAATTGTTTTTTGCGAAAGAGTTTTCAAGCGAATTTTGACTAATCGCGCATTTAGCCAAAATCTCTGCAATCTCTACAACCGGTCAAAATACGAGGCGATTCAAAATACATTTGCAACCCCTAAAAAACACCAACCCATACGAACTACGAATTGGGACTATGATTCCTCATAAGATGATACGTAGGCATACGATCAAAAATCGTGGCGAGTTCCCCTATAAAAAATTAAAACCCTTTCCCCTAATTAAAATTTAAAACCCTGTTTACCCCAAACCTAAGCCTAAACCTAGTATCCTTGTGAACAAGGTAGATGAAAGGTTCCTAACACCTTGATTTCGTCTAATAGAGTCTGAAACCTAGAATATTTGTCTGCGAATTAGGGTTTCCTATTAGATGCCCTTCCCTAGGATAAAAACTAATAGCGGCGACTCTTGATTTAAAAATCAGTCGCAACAGCTGGCGACTCTGCTTGGGACGCTTAACCCTAGGTTTTACTTTGGGGATTTTCTATTTTATTTATTTATCGCATTTATCTATTTTATTGCTTTTATTTCTTTATTTTCAATTTTTCTTATCATTATATATTTACTGCGTGACGGGTTTTTTATTTCAAAAAAAAAATATCAAATAAACCCTTAGCAAGAAGGTTCGTCTATTAGCTTATGGGATACATCATTCCTGCGAGTTTATGTGACGACTTCGTCTAGAGTCGGTGGACTTCTGAAAAAGGAATACTTATCGATAGATATCCTCTTAACAAGTAGGACTTTGGAAGGACACCCATGACTCTTTGTAACGACCTTAACCTAAAATCTCATGACGAGACCTTTCACGACTTTGAGACAAAAGTTTTGGTCCGTAAAGAGGCTCCACCTAAGGGAGGCCCTTGTGCCATTTCCCTCTAGTGTTATTCATGAAACCCTTAAGGAAGCCACCTTTTGGGAGGTTAAACCAACCGTAGGTAAAAATTAAGGAGCCTACCTTCTAAGGGTACTTACCACAAAAACCCTGTCACTGAACCATACATCCCTACCTTATAGGGGTACTTATTACAAAAATCCCGTCACTCAACCCTACACCTATGCATCCATACATTTCATATATTTGTCATACATTTCATATATTCGTCACCCGTTTATTTTTATTTGTCTTATTCATAGGGGGTACAAAAAATAATAATAAACTCAACATTTTTGGTGATTGTCTTTAAAAATGGATACCGGAGGAAACAACTTGTTCGCGTTAATGCACAAAACATGTCTGAAATCAAAGCCACAAAAGGGAAATAATATATTGAAGACTTTCTCAAACTTTGTGCAGCAAAGGTGGATGGTTTCAAGAGCAGACATCCGCAGGCGCGCCTAGAAGACTTATTTACCTTTGCTTAAGTTCATGCAAACAAGTTTTGGTTTAATATTTTAATATTCTTCAATATCTGAATTATGTTACCTTTAATAAAGACATTTTGTTTCCACATCTCGTATTCGTATCTATTTTTAAGATGATCACCGAATAACAATAATAAGCAAAAGACAAATACATACCAAAGTGAATAAGACATTTAAAACAAGAAATTGTTTCATATTCATACACATTCGTTCGCACGCAAGCATTCACGAACACCTGCATATCATATTGAAACTCATTTTTCCAAAAAAAAACTCTCCATTTGAACCATTGGTAGAAGAAGATATCCACCTTCTTGGAATCCATATAAAACAAGGGCCTACTGTTGTACCCCAAAATTTTTCCTCCCATATTTCTCAAAACATTTCAAGAGAGATTCTCAAGTTGCTCAAAGAAGTCCAAGGGTTGACCAGACAAGCTCCCTCCTAAAGGCAGTCTACCCCAAATTAGGGTTTCCTGTTGCTTCAAGATACTTGAGTCCAAGGGATCCCAAATGCTCACAAATGTCCTAATATGTTCTCAAGATCATCCATGCCAAGTTTCAATCCTTGCAGAGGAAGTTTGCTGAGTCAATTGCTCAAAGGCCTGAAAATCGATTGTGCTAGGGCAAAAGTCAACTGCGGCCTACATACAGTCAAACTTCAAGATTTTTGGTCAACATCCTAATTTTAAAGTATATTTCATCATTTTATCAAGGGTTGATCATGATTCATCAAGGATTGCTCATAATTCCTCAATAACCAAAAGTTGCTAAATTAGGGTTTTGTAGGAAAAGTCAACTCAACTTTGACCAAGCATAACTTTCTCATACCTTATGAGAAATGACCCATACAAAGCTCATTTTGAAGAGGATGAAATTCCCTACAATCCATCTTCATCTCTTAAGTTCAAAATATGCACTCACAAGAAGTTATGAATTTAGACATTATAGGTCATTTTGAAAAGTCAACAAAAATACCTTTTTTGTCAAAGCTTCATACATGAGAATGGAATATCAAACTGAGATGAGACCAAAAGGGTTACTTAGAGAACATCTCAAGCTTTCTAAAAAGTCCAAGAACACTTTCAAAGAGTCAAAATTGAGGATGTTATGCATTGGTGAAGTTGACCTTTTTTGTAAAATTGTCAAAAGTCAACTATGCCTAAAACATCAAATTTTGCCAAATAGGCCCAATCTTTTTCACTTGTTTTGAGTTTGCAACATGGACCACGAGCCCTAGCCTTTTCCAATTGTCATCATCTTATTTAAATTATTTATTTTGATTTTTATTTGAATTAAATCATTTTAAATCAAAACAAATCATATAAAATCCAAAATATTGAAATTCAAAGATCTTGTGCTTGTTTCGGGTCTTAATGTCCAGCTAGCATCAGATCAAATTCGTGTAAAAGCATGAGGTGCACAAAAAGATTGGATTAGGCCTATTTTTGGAAAGATTTTAAGGTGAATCAAATCAAGATCAAGGACATTGATGGAGGAAGATTGAGGCCAGGCTTTCAACCCTAATCTCTTCCTCAATACATATAGAAGGAATGCAGACCTAAAACTAGGTTAGAAGGAGGCGTGTGATCAAGAACAAAACTTGGAAAAAACAAGAAAAAGTGGGTGAATTGAATTCCTACTTAGAGGCCAATTCAAGACCCTTGGACCATTCCAATGGCTTCCTGGGATCCCTAGCAAGCAAAAGCAATCAAGAACAAGCGTTTCCAGGCCCTGTATCGCGCTGTAAGTCCATCACGACATCCATGTATTTTTGAATTCGGTTTGCATGATTTAGACATTGATAGCATGAATGAATGATATATTCTTGATCACCATCATGTTTGCAAGCTTCCTGTAACATTTGATTGCATTTTCATGGCTTGTATAAGATTTCACCATAGCTAGGGTTTTATGGTTCGATTTAGGAGTTTTGTTTACAGGAAAATTGGGCCATGAAAGGGCCACCAATGAACTCAGCAAGTCCAGACGAACCTGTCCACGGCCTTCGTTTTTATTTATCACGCTTCTGTTGAGTTTTGAGATTTGCAGGACATGTAGCTACAGATAAACGTCCGTAGGTAAAAGTTTGGAACTTTTATCAATGGAACAGGGTTGAAGACGACTAGATGGATAGAAACCATTGGTCCATTCAAACTTCTGGCGCGCATTTTTTTTGTTATCCTCCACTAATTTTTGTTTTTGTATATTGTTATTATTATTTATTTCATGTACAAAAAGAACAGTTAGCTCAGCTGGTTGCCAAGCGTTGGAACGTCCCATGTGGCCTGGGTTCGAATCCCAGGTCCCCCCTTTCTTTCATATATTTTATCTTTTCAGGTTCCAGCGCACACATGAAGCTAAGGACCACCATGGTCCATCATCATTCAGTCTGCCAAGTGGCCATATGGTCAAATCCAAAGGCCAGCAATGAGGGACCATCATGGGTTGCAGTCAACGCGTAGCATCAGATCTGGGGAGTCAACGTGGGCCACCATGTTTTGGGCCCAGATTTGGCTTCTCACACCTCCCAAATCGCTTTGTTCAGGCTCATTCTCTTTCTTTATTCTTTTTTTTATATTTGTTTCATTTAATTTATTTATTTTATTTTACTAACCAATTAATTATTTTCTTTTATAAAAAAAATCATAAAAATAATACTTTTCACAAATTAGGTTTAGATTTTATTTTTTATCAAAAATTAAATAAATTTTATTAGGTTGTTAATATTAGATAACTTTAATTCCTTTTGTACATAATTAAAATTAATTAGAACAAATAGGTTTATATTTCTAATTTAA